AACAAAATTTATTGTTTTATGGTCATGTTAATGTGGCAATGTCTTTTGAAATTCAATTACTAAGCATCATCTGAACTGAAATCTTTCTTTCTTCATTTGGTATAAAACTGTTTTGTCAAAAGCTTCTTCTTATCAGTCTCTTGTTTAATTACTTTTTTCTTTAGCAACCACAGCATCCACAGTTTTTTACTTATGTGATTTGAGTAGGCCCTAAATCACTGCAACAGACATGGTCAGGACAACCATCATTTGCTTCTATGGTAAAGAACTGGCTGTGGCTAAACCCTGTCATTTGTTGAATTTACATAAATACATTAATTAGCCTTCCTTTGTTTCTCTTCAAAAACGTATTAAAATACCAGACACAGCTGTCTCTACAAAAGATTAAATTCATGTCCTTTCTAATTCATGATGTCACCCCAGTCACAGGCAATTTCCAGTAGTTTTACTTTCAAAGGGAAGACACCACTATAAGATTTTACACGTGGAAGCTGGGCAGACATTCTACAAAGAATTCAGTATTTATTTGAGACTCCTTTCTCACACCACTGGGCAAAGATACACAGGTCAGCATTCCTGAAGCTATATCAAACTTCATTTGCAATAAAAAGTGCAGTTATTATGACACAAGCAGAGAGCTTTCCCTTCTATTAGAATGTTATTTTCTCATGTACTGTGCTGTTTTCGGCTGGGATAAAGTTAACTTCCTTCACAGCTGCTGACATGGGGCTGTGTTTTGGATTTGTACTGGAAACAGTGTCAATACTACAGGGATGTTTCAGATATTGCTGAGCAGAGCTTACACAGAATCAGTGACTTTTCTGCCTCTCACCCCACCCCACCAGTAAGAAGGCTGAGGGTGCACAAGGAGTTGCGAGGGGACACAGCTGCGGTTATTATGACATAAACACATAAAATCAATTTACAGTGTGACGCTTAAGGATGAGCCAAATCACTGGGAATTTAATTTTTGTGATAAAGATGGTCAGTACTAGCAGAACACTTTATGGATATGTACCATATTCAAAGTACCGTGTGAATTTATGGAATAAAGTAAATGGGTTGATGTGATGGCCAAAAGGGCCTCTCAGGAGACTGAGAATGAAAAATTTGCAATCTGAAGAATCATAGCAATACTAGAAGAGTAAAAATTAGTAAAATTATAAGATCTTATGTTAGAAAATAATGAAAAATTTGAATTATTTTATTGCTACTGCTATGATTTCTAGCATGTCACAGTCAATAAGCCTATATCTACAGTGTTGTAACAGCAGAGGACACAGAAGGAAAAAGACAAAGACCACATAGAAAGTCCATCATCAAGAGACTGAACCCACTTGTCCTATTGGATTGTGTTGAAATCAATATAATTACCTTTATTCCTTATTTAATATTAATGAGAATATCGCAGAATTAAATGCCACTTACACATCATACAGCATTCTTGACAACAGCTAGAAAATTTAAAAGTAAGAAAACCACTGCAAACACTCACTTTTTCACCTATTTAGTAGAATACTCTTTTTAAGAGAAACAAGTGAGAAGGAGAATTAAAACTAAATGTTATTAACAAACTATTAATTAATCTGAAATTGTGACATAACGCAGTTTTAGCTTTTTAGTCTAATGAACCAAAATCTCATTAACAATCAACAGTGACAGGCTTAGTACTGACAACACCTACGCAACAAAGGATTAACACAACACAAATATTATTCAGGTTAGATTTTTTCCAAGACTAAGCCTCAAGTCTCTGTCCACAGAGAGTTGTGTTTGCACTTCCGTGCTTATAAACAAATCCTTAAAATATATACAAAAGTTTTATTATACTAGATACAAACTTTACAGTCACTATTATCTTTCATCCCCACTATGGAATTGAGAGTCAGAGCTCGCTCTGAAACGGACCCACCTCTCTATCTAACCTCCAGAGACTCAATATTGGCCAAGCATTGATGTTTAATTAAGTAATTAGCTCAGAGCTTTTGAATAGTTAACAGAAATTAATGCTCATCAAAAAGTAACCTCACTGAGCGGCCAAAATACATTTTAAATTCAGAAAGACAGCTTTAATAAAATATTATTTTATAAATTTAAATGCATTTAATTAGCAAGGGAAAAATCATTTAAACCACATTGGTCACTCAGCCCCATTATACCTACAAACTTATAAAGATATTTTAAATTACTACCTAGGTGAATATTACTCTCTAACCAGAGAGGTCCAGAATGAGATCTGGGCCCCCTGAACTAAATAAAGAAAGAATGAAGGGCTATGAGTTAAAGGAGCTGCTTTGTAAAAGACTCCTAACTGCATTAAGCAAACCCATAAGCTGCAGAGAAGGCAGGTGAATGTAAGAGTAGACTATTGCTCATGACACGCAAGGTTAGCAATCTGCTCTAACTGGACATGCTTCAGCAAAGCATTTAAGCATGGTGCTAAAGGGCTCTCCTGGCAAGGAATACCTTCTTGAATTGAACCTAAGGGCCTTGTGGAGTTAGAGCCAGATAAAAACATGCATTATCCCTTTTCTGTGCCCAAAAAGAGTGCCTAGAGAACTGACGCATTCAACTTCTCTACCATTTACCAGAAACAAGAACAGGATGTACTTCGCAATTATGGAAATTCACAGTTTTCATAGGCATTGACAGTCATACCTGAACATACTTGATACAAACTTCTCTGCAAAGCTGGAGTGATAAAGATGCAATGAGGCTTATTGAAATTAGTGTATATTTACAAAAATGGATGTGAGAAGCATATTTTTATTATAAATGTAACCTTAGAGTGTAGATGGTTTGGTTGAAACTCTGAAATGTAGAAAAGTGTGCAAAGAATCTTTACATTTTTAAGAAAATTTTTAGAAGAGTTTATACATTTCATACATATATTCTCACTCGGTGCCTGGCAGAGTTATGGAGCAGATCATCCTGTGTGCAATCACACAGCAGCTACAGGATGGACAAGGGATCAGACCCAGCCAACATGGGTTTAGGAAGGGCAGATCCTGTTTGACCAACCTGATTTCCTTTTATGATCAGGTGACCCACCTGGTGGATGAGGGAAAGGCTGTGGATGTGGTCTA